TTCTTACATGGGATATAGAAACACATAGTAGCCGTGGAATGGGAGATTTACCTATAGTGAAAAATGAAGAAGATTGAGTTTTTATGATTTGTATGACTATACATTGGAAAGATGATCCCAATCCATTGACACAAATATGTTTAGTTGATGTGGAGACGAAACCAAATCCTAGGTGGACCACAGTGATATGTGGAAATCAAACCAATTTGCTTAAGGTATTTGCATTATGTTGGGGATATTTAGCTCCCAATATACAGATAGGTTTTAATGATTCGCAATATGATTGGCCTTTTGTCGTAGAAAAAGCTAAGAATTTAGGAATTCTTGAATAGATGTTTAATCACATGTCACCGGAGTCTTTAAGTATTGAAAAAATTACAAAATGGCAATATCAATATAATGTGATAAAAATAAATGATGCAAACTTCCATTCGAAACATCTCAAAATCCCTGGATGTGTGGCTATTGATGTCCAACCCTGTTTTAAGAAATTATATTCTAAAGCCGAGAAAAGCAGTCTTGCATTTTATTTAGAAAAGTGTAAACTCGATAACAAAGTAGATCTGCCTAATTACCGTATGAACAAATATTATGAAAGGGCATTAAAAGAAACAAATAATACAATGGCTAGGCAGATGTATGAAGTGGCTGAATACTGCATTAACGATACTCTTAGCTGTCAGCGGTTAATGGTCAAGCATAATGTAATCAATGAATATAGAGAGAAAGTTTCTATATCATTTCTATCTTTATTTGATGCACATTATTTTGCTAATGGAATGAAGGTAAAAAATCTTTTAGCTAGTCGAGCATGGGAACTAGGATTTTTAAATTCTATGATTCCACAAAAGCAAACAGAAAGTGGTAAATACCCCGGGGCATATGTATTTCCACCAGAAAAGGGGCTTGAAAATAAACGCCCTGTAACCAGTCTTGATTATGCATCATTATATCCAAGTCTTATTATGACATATAATCTCTCTCCTGATAAAATTATTTTATCCCGTGAGCATGCAATATCCATAGCACGCAGTGGTAAGAAGCTTCATAGGATTGAATTCGAGTTCAATGGTCACGATATTATTGCATGGTCAGTAAAACATGAAAATCAATCAGAAATGGAAGAACTTTATGTAATAGTCTTGAAAGAACTACTTATGAAGCGGAATAAGATGAAGAAATATCTTGCCCCATTAAGCAAAAAAAAGGAAAATATGGAATTAATATTGAGTAACATAGAAGGTGAGCGAACGATACTGGAAGCTATTGAACTTGTCTTGGGAAATGCAGAAAAGAAAAATCGCGATAAACTTACTAAAAAATTACATCCTTTTATTAATAAAAATAACCATGAATTTATGATAGAATATAATTCCATCTGCTTCGATCATGCTTGTTTAAATGCAAAGCAGACTGCCTTAAAAGTTTATATGAACACATTCTACGGTGAAGCCGGAAATAATGAATCGTCTTTCTTTTCGCTTCAACTTGCTGGAGGGGTTACATCAGCTGGTCAACGGAACATTAAGCTTGTAGCAGATTTTGTTAAAAATAAAGGCTTTAAAATAAAATATGGAGATACGGATTCTTTATATTTAGTTTGTCCAGAAGAATATTTCCAAGAATGTGATATAGCTTATGGTAATGGAAATGGGATTACGAAAGAAAAATACTGGAATGAAATGGTAAAAATTTCTATGAGAGTAATAGGGGAGCTTCGTGATGTGGTAAATGAATTTCTTAAAAAAGATAACGGAGCTACTTATCTAAAAATGGCCTATGAAGAGGTTTTATTCCCAGTAGTATTTACAGGTAAGAAAAAATATTACGGTATTCAACATATAGAAGAACCTAACTTCGATCCAAATCCAGATAAGCTTTTTATTAGAGGTATAGATATTGTGAAACGGGGGCAGTCTAAGCTCTTTCACAAAATAGGTAAGGAGATTATGCGAGAATCTATGGAAATTGATAATAATAAAACATTATACCAAATTGTTGAAGAGGTCCTTAAAAACATAGTGAAAAATTCATCTCAGATAGATATTAATGAATGTATTCGAACTTATGCATGGAAACCCGATAAAGATAATAAGTCTGTTAAATGTTTCATCTCTCGAATGAAATCTAATCATGCTTGTGAGGTTGAGGAATCCAAATGGCTTATAAAAAAGGAATTAACACCCGATCCATATCTTTACGATATCCCAGAACCTGGAGAGCGCTTTGAGTGTATAGTAGTGGAAAGGGAAGATCAATATGATGAGTATGGGAAGAAAATATCATGGAAAGTAGGGGATTGTATGGAATACCCAGATGTGGCAAAAAAACTTAACAAAAAGATAGATGTCAATTATTACCTAAAGAGTGTAGTTGGTCTTTGTGCCAGATTTATAAATAGTGATAAATATTTTGAATCACTTACTGATGATAAATTTTTAATAAATATTACCGCTCCTGATGAACTCTGGACAAAAAAGGATGAATTAGAGCAGAAATCGGCAGAGAGGTGGATTAAAAAATATATAAAAGATTTACGTGATACACCGAAAAAAGATGAAGCCATTATCTCCCATTTATGGAAAAATGCTACTACACATGCTGAAAAAATATGTTCTAGTATTAGCAAAGTTGGCATAACCAGGCCTTTAGGTGCCTCTACTTGGTGTAATGGCTATCTTAAAGCATTAGATAAAATTGCAGACTCCATTCGTTTGAAATTATTAGATCTACTTTTAGAATTGTCTAAGCTTAATGTAGAATACAGAAATGAGTTATATAAATTAATTATGAAGTCACAAAAATGCAAGACCAATGTTACGATTTTGGAAGAGTATATACTTCGATATAACCTGGAATCAGAATGTGAAGCATTAACAGATTTCTGGAATACATGGCATAGGGTGGTTGGCCTTGAAATTACCCGGCTTCAAGCATTATCAATCACATATGGCAGTAAAAAAGATGACCCATCAGACATCGATGATATCATTAACCTATATTGTTAAGTATTCTTAGCTAAGATCGCTACAATTCACTAAGATACTTGTACATTATTAATAATATTTTTTTTTTGTACATAAATAATATCCAAGTTCAAATAGACAGCCTGTTACCCAATCTACGTATCCTATAGCCGATTGCCTTTTTATTTCGGAGCAATGGCTCTTCAGGCCTACCTATATTCCATGTGCGTCTCAATATAATAATAACTGCAATAATTAATAGAATAGGAAAAATATATGCTGATAGTAGTGACATCAAAGAGGGGCTATGATTTTCCGGTTGTGCAAAGTATGGAGTCGCATTTGGCATTTCTTGGAGTATATTGTTGTTAGTTTTGCTAATATCGATTTCGTCACTTACCTTAGGAATAATCCCCGTATTATCTTTTGATAGTTTGATAATCTTATCATTAGCGAAGCAAGTACCAAAGGTGCTAGTATCTGTCGAGATATCATTATCAGTTTTTTCAGCTTGATCCATACTTTTTCCGCGTACAAAATACTTACTTAAATTTTTGCTAGGTTCAATAACTGCAGATATATCAGATGCGATAGCATCCTCACTCTGTGAGTCAGACTTGATTATGAAACTTTGTTCCTCACACAGCGTATTTTTTTCATCGTTTCCACCAAGTACGGGGTTTGATAAAGCCTCTGATTTCAGACACTCAAGTTCACTGATTTTTGAAGCTAACTTACGTTCCACTTCAGCCATTTTAGACTTAAGGGATAATATCTCGGATTTGTGGAACAAAGTACTACATGCCTCTTTTTTCGATGAGTCATTTTGAATCGAAATCACATCTTTCTGGACTGAAGATAACTTACCTTCCAATATCTTGATCATAGACTCAAGTGATCTAATTTTCTTAGATTTTATATCATTCTCAGCTTTGGACTTTGCAAGAGAAATGTCTTTATTAGCGTTTTCAATCTGTAAACATCTAGCTTCATCAATAAGTTCGAGATCATGAGTACATAATTTCTGGATCATAGTATTGGACCCACCCAGTTTCTGACTCCATTTTTTTCTCTCCTGTTCCCAACCTCTCCGTTCACAATCAAAATTTTTCTCTTGCTTTATGAATTTATTCCGTAACTCACTGTTATAGTTATGCAATTTAGAAGAGGATTGGAGGATACGATGTATTTCTTCCTCAAGATCTTTTACATATGTCATATCAAATAAAAGATAATATAATAAAAAAATATGGATGAATCTCGATACTAAATATTCATATTATATATACTATATGCACTATGCGTACTATGCATATTATGTGTACGATGCATACTAAATTATCAATACTATACACACTATGTATACTACGCATACTAATTATCGATACTATACGTATTATGCATATAATATAATATTTTTTTCCTCAATAAATTATTGATATTACAGATATTATAGATATTATGGATATTATAAAAATAACATGGCTAAATGTATGCGATCCGATACAGTTCCATTATCACCAGAAGATTATAAATTTATTATGCAATATCGTGATGTAAAACCCAAAACTGATGTTTTAAAGAAGTTGAGAGAAAAATACCCCATGACAAATAACCGTTTTTATAAAATTTGGAGAGGACAAGAAGTTAGTATGATAGAATGGTATCAGCCTATATCAGAATCAATAACACCCCCAAGTCAGGATTTACCTATATTAGAATTACCCTCCGAATCATGCTCACGAAGTATTGACCATACCAGCTCCACTGAAGAAACTAGTATAACTGAGAATTCTAACCAAATTAATATTCCGAACAAACAGATTAAAAAAAGAAAACTGAGATCTAAATCGGTTCGAATTTCTGATTCATCTAATAGTGGAGCTAGTGCTAAGACACATATTATCAGCGGGGCCAATACACCCAATACCCTGACAAAAAAAGTGGAAAGAAAAGATGACCTATATGCTTTGATTGAGCAGGATTGCAAAGAAACAGAAGAATATGAACGTGAATCAGAAAGATTTTTAAATCCTAACTAATCTATCTTCATTTCCACTATATTGGTAATCTTTCCATTTGAGTCTTCAGGTTCATCTCTACGAATTCGTAATTTTTTATTGAGTTCTATTAATTTAACCTTGGATTTAAGTACCTCATATAGCGTTTTTTCTAACTCCTCATAGCTCATGCGTTTTTTTTTAATGATAGGTCATCAGAGGAATTGGAGATTCGATGCTCTGCATCATCTAAGCTAAAACCCACAGGAGTATGCCATTTTTTGAATGGTACATTATAATTCTTATTACTATCCGCTTCTTGAGAAAGTTGATCAGATACCAAAGACCTATCAATCTGAGATGTAGTAGCACAGTTTACTTCGAGCTTGTTCTTGACTTTGTGCATTGTAACCAGAATAACAAAATCTTCTCCGTTATAATGAATCTTCATTTTATCGTTACCCCAATCTACAGCACATTTATATTTTTTGAGAAGCAGGTTTGGGAATATTAATGTTGGTTTAGGAACTCGTACAACTACAAAATCTTCACGCATAGTAAAACCTGGAGGAAATGTTATTGGTAAATTATGAGTAATACTAACAGATTCCATTGGAACAGTAGTGACGCCACTAAGATCATATTTTTCTGACGTATCTATTTTTCTGCCTACACATTTAACAATATCTTCTGATACGATTGCAGGTTCAGCGCCACTATCTAGTACCAATGCCAGAATTTTTAAGCGTTTGATTTTAACTGGTATAGTTGCAATACTAATTACTGGTTCTTTCCGATGGACGAAATCTATCTCCATAGGGTCATTTAGCATTTCATCCTCCCCATCCGAATCGGGTATTTCTGAGCCATACGGCGGAGCCGGCTCTCGATAATTTATAAAGTCAGGTTTTGCAAGCCCTTCAGGAGCAACTCTTCGAGTCATAGATACATTCATATTATTAATATTATTTTTAATCATTTCTATAACCTCTGGATCGTTAAACATGGCTAGAATAATTTTTCGAATTTCTGAGTCAATAATCATATCTGATTTCTTTTTAGGCTGTACGGCAGAGGATGATTTACTCTTTCGTTTTACTTTTTTTTTTACCCTGAAAATGTTAACATTCATACCCTCAGTTTCAGAGGATGTATTATCAGAATCAGATCCAAAATCAGAATCGCTATTGGAAGAGTTATAATCAGAACCTGAATTGGAACCAGAGTCATTGATAGCCATATTAACCTTAGCTTTTTTCTTGGATCTGCTTTTCTTTTTATTTTTCGGACATTTAGAAGAATTTGAATGATGACCACTTCTATGACATTTTGAACAGCGGTGTTTGGATGATACACTAACAGCATATACTTCCTTCATTCCTTGTGATATACCTTTAGATACACCTTTGGATATAGCCTCATTTATCGACAACTCAGCCATACCCTTTGTGATTCTATCTACATCATCAGTAATGAGAGAGGTTTCTTTTTTCTTCTTAGGTAAGAGAGGCGTAATTCTATCTATCACTCCTTTACTAATTGTATCCATAAAAGTTTGCAGATAAGATGGACCTGCTAAAGCACTAAGACGATCTGTTGCTTCATCTATTCGAATCCATTCTTGGTCATTCAAGCGTAGGTCTGGGTCCCTATATTTTTTACCTGGTTCCATTTGACTGGGTCGTAATAATTGTTCTTCTTGTCTTTGAGAAGTTGGTTGTGTAAACTGAGGAAGAGTGGTTGGTATTAAAGCTAATTGTGATTTTATCATATCTATTTCAGCTCGAGTTATATCACTACTATTAGAATGAGATTTATTTTCTATATTAACAGCTGGAGTTTGAGAAATTTGATTGGGAATTGAATCTCTATAGCCAAGTGATGGTTGATGCTTGAGCCATAATTCTTTAAGTGAATTAAAGAAAGCTGTGATTCTGCCAGGATTTACTCCTTCCATCTGAATAAAAAGCTCAGAAGGTAGATGAGCCATAAGAAATCCCAAAGCATTAGCATCATTATCAGGCACACCTAATAGATATTGACGAATTCTAGCTTCATATGTTTCTGGATTATCATCAGCCTTAAATGTTTCTTGAGATAATCTTTGAATAGCAGACTGGCGAGTACCAACTGTTCTTTGTAGATAGGTATCTCCAAGCCATGCTCTAAAGCGAGCTGGAGTATCAATATTATTTCCTGCATGTTGAGGTGGAACTGGTAAATACTTTCCCGCCATTTTCGATTTATAAATATCTGCCTTATATGCATCAGTAAAAGTATTGGCATTTGCAGTATTAGCATCAGCAATCATTGTATCAGTATAGCTAATGGCTGTTTCAATCCTATTACAATAATCATCTGGTGGTTCCTGTCCAATATATGATGGAATATGTGCAAGACTTGTTTGAATAGTTTGATAAATATGTTGTCTATCGGCGGCCGCCATGTTTAGATTTATAGGTTGATTATTCTGTAGTAATAAAATTTGGGCTTGTAAATTTAAAATTAATTGCTGAGAATTGCGCTCCCTATTTTTCCACTTGATATGACTTGCCTTTCGATCCTTGAATTTATTGTAATATCTATCAAAGATTCGATCTCGATTAAATTCTAATAATCCTTTATCAGCCCGGCATTGTTGTATCTCTTGTTCTAAGCGATGAATAAATGCCTTAAAAATAATTTCGAAAGCATGTCTGAGTTTAAATTGCTCTTCTAATACCAAAGTAACATTATGCCACAAATACCCCCGCATATCATATTTTTGTTGCAATTCTCTACCATGTCTTTGGCACCTTCGGAGTTTAAAATTAAGTGTAAATTTTTCAAGTAATAAAGTATTAATCCGCATCTGCATTCCTCTTTCAAATTGCTGAGCGATCTCCCTCCATCTACAACATTCTGTTCGCTCATTATTATAAGCTGTAGTCATTAAAGCAAGATTATTTTGAGAATTGTTACGCTCTAGTGTAAGTCGGTTAATATGATTTTGCAAGGTATCTCGTGCTTGAATAAGTTGATTGGTTTGATTCTGAAGGTCAGCGTTTTGTTGTCTATAGAAATTGACATCCTGCTGTAACTGGACTATCTGATTATTGCTGTCATCTCGTTGAGCGATAACACCGTCTATATCCTGGTATGCAGACTGATAATTATGCTGAACAGTATTTAAGGAACCTCTAATGCCATTTATAATATTCATAGGATTATTTAACGGTGTTCCAGCGCCTCTAAGGTGTTTTTCAATACGAGTCAAGCCTCGTTCGATTTGTATAAAAAGGTCAAGATTCGCCATATCTACGTCTTCCTCTTTTGAATTATATAAACTTGGAGAGCTTCTTCGAGAAGAAATAACTTTGAATCTATGCCTTAAATTTTGAACCCGCTCTTTCGATTCTTGTAATTGCTTCTCTATACTATCGATATAAAATATCTTGTCTCGGACCTCTTTTTTAGCTTGATATAAGCTTTTTTTAAGGGATGATATTTCCGATCTCAACTCTGCCTTTTCTTTCTCCGAAGCATTCTCGAGACGTTCCAGCTCTTTATTGAGAGATTGAATTTCATTCTCACACCGGGTATATTTACGTTCCAGATCCTTTATATATTTCTTATTCGACTTGTTGATGGCTACCTCTGATTGTAATATCTCCCGGAGTTCTTGGTTAATTTGTTCTAGCTCGAGTTCTTTATCCGTAGCTGATCTATGAGTTGTTTGATTAGGGGGTTGTGGTCTACGAAATGCCATGTTATTACGAAGTAATGAGACTTTGTCTCTATTTTATACGGCATATTATATTGACTTATCTCTGACTTTGCTAAACGTATCGAAAATGAGTAAATTAAGCAAGCTTATTATTAGAATCGATCCAGATGAGGAATTGCAAATTGTTCTGGGTATGCTTTTTTACTGGCCTACTGGTTATCATTCTAATGCAAAAGCTTTAAGAGACACATGTAAAAAAGAAGGATATAAATTCTCATATAAAAAAGTTCGTGAATGGTTACATAACCAGAATGAATGGCAAAAGTACGCCCCGTCACCGAAAAATATTTCACGAGTTAGTTATGGTAAAATTTTACATCCGAATTGCGTACATATGTGTGATTTATTGCGCCTTACAAATGATATCGTTAATAAAAAGACATATAAATGGGCACTCACTATTATAGACGTTGCATCACGTTTTAAATGCACTGTTCCTCTTACATCAAAAAATAGCTCAAACGTTGCCAAAGCCTTCAAAAAAATTTATAATGATCCATCAAATCCACTTGTATGGCCAACACTTCTACAATGCGACCAAGGGCGTGAATTTATGGGTGAGACGAGTAAAATAATGGAAGAGCATAATGTAACGATTAGATTAATTAGCGCATATAGTCATCGAGGTCTTGTAATCGTAGACAGGTTTTGTAAAACATTAGCAGAGATGCTGTACAAAATTCAATCTGCCATTGAAACTATATCCAGAAATCCTAAATTAATAAGGGCATGGGTTAAGCATTTACCAAAAGTTCTTGAATACCTGAATAATTATCTAACACGACTTATACGAGCGCCAGGATCAAAAAAATGGGGATTAGCACCTGTGAAGGTGATTAGATTGGATAGGGTAGAGTCTAGACCATCTACAAAATACAAACGTTCAGTTGGTAAAGACGAAGAAAAATTAAA